CCTTAGATCTAATCTAAATTTGCCCTCTTTCCGATTAAAGCCATTGCCCCTTGTCTTATCACTACATGCCCTTGTAAAAAGTCCCTCTTCAGCTTTCTTGTAGGCTCCCTGTAGGTACTGGAAGGCTGCTTCTCTTCTCCAGGCTGAACAACTCCAACTATCTCTGCCCCAACCCATGTGCAGGACCTTGCACTTGGCCTTGTTGAACTTCATGAGGTTCTCACAGGCCCACCTCTCCAGCCTGTCAAGGTCCCTCTGGACGGCATCCCTTCCCTCCAGCATGTTGACCACACCACACAGCTAGGTGTCATCAGCAAACTTGCTGAGGGTGCACTCGATCCCACTGTCAATGGTGCTGACAAAAATGTTAAACAGCACCTGCCCCAGGATTGACCCCCGAGACCACTCATCACTGGTCTCCACTTGGACATCGAGCCGTTGACTGCAACTCTGATTGCAGCCATCCAGCCAATTCCTTATCCACGAAGTGGCCCATCCATCAAACCCATGTCTCTCCAATTTAGAGACAAGGATGTCATGCGGGACAGTGTCAAATGCTTTGCACAAGTCCCGGTAGACAATGTCAGTTGCTCTTCCCTTATCCACTAACACTGTAACCACATCATAGAAGGCCATCAAATTAGTCAGGCATGATCTGCCCTTAGTGAAGCCACGTTGGCTGTCACCAATCATCTCCTTTTTTTCCATGTGCGTTAGCATAGTTTCCAGGAAGATATTCTTGATCTTTCCAAACACATGGGTGAGACTGACTGGCCTGTCATTCCCTGGGTCTCCTTTTTTTTCCCTTTTTGAAAACAGAGGCTATATGTCTCCTTTTGCAGTTGGTGGGAGCTTCACTGGACTGCTACAACTTCTCAAGTATGACAGATAGTGGCTTAGCAACTTCATCTGCCAGCTCCCTCAGGACCTGCAGATCCATCTCATCAGGTCCCATGGACTCGTCCACCTTCAGTTTCCTTAGACGGTCTCAAACTTGATCTTCTCCTACAGCGGGCAGTTCTTCATTCTCCCAGTCCCTGTCTTTGCCTTTTGTAACCTGGGCAGTACGGCTAGAGTTCTTGCCAGTAAAGACTGAGACAAAAAAGTCATTCAGTACCTCAGCCTTCTCCATATCCTGGGTAACCAGGTCTCCCATTTCCTTCTGGAGAGGGTCCATGTTTTCCCTAGTCCTCCTTTTATCACTGACATATCTATAGAAGCTTTTCTTGTTGCCCTTGACTTCCCTGGCCAGATATAATTGCAGGGCTCTAGATTTCCTAACCTGATCCCTGGTTGCTCAATTTCTCTGTATTCTTCCCAGGCTACTTGTCCTTGCTTCCACCCTCTGTAGGCTTCCTTTTTGCATTGCAGTTTGTCCAGGAGCTCCTTGTTCATCCATGCAGGCTTCCTGGTGTTTTTGCCCAACTTCCTTTTTGTTGGGATGCATTGCTCCCGAGCTTGGAGCTTTCTTGGGCCCCTCTTCCCTCTAGGGCTTTATCCCATGATACTCCACCAAGCTGACCCCTGAAGAGGCCAAAGTCTGCTCTCCTGAAGTCCAGGGTAGTGAGCTTGCTAAGCACATAGAGGCATTGAAGTTTGGCCCCTGATGAAGCTGATTTACTGGCTGGAATTCCTGTCCCTGCCCACAAGTGGAATGAGAGAGGAAAAAAAATAACCTGTGATCCAAATTCCCTTACCAACCGTCCCAGGGCCCTAAAGTCTCTTTTGATTGTCCTTGGGCTACGTGTTTCTCCAGGAAGGCAGCAGAGTTCCTTAAGAGGAGGATCTATCCGGTAAGAATCATGTGGTGGGTCGACTCAGGTTGGACACCAGGTGCCCACCAAAGCTGCTCTATCACTGCCCTCAGCTGCACAGTGGAGAGAAAATACAGCATAAAGCTTGTGGGTTGAGGTAAGGATGGGGAGATCATTCAGCAATTAACACCATGGGCAAAACAGACTTGGCTTGGGGAAAATTAATTTCAACTTATTACCAATCAAATCAGAGTAGGATAATGAGAAATAAAAACTAAATCTTAACACACCTTCCCCCTACCCCTCCCTTCTTCCCAGGCTTAATTTTGCTCCAAATTTGTCTATCCCCTCCTGCCCAGCGGCACAGGACGATGGGGAATAGGGGTTGCAGTCATCATGTTTCTGCCACTCCTTCCTCCTCAGGGGGGGAGGACTCTTCACACTGTTCCCCTGCACCAGTGTGGGGTTTCTCCCATAGGAGACAGTCCTCCGTGAAATTCTCCAACATGAGTCCTTCCCACAGGCTGCAGTTCTTCACGAACTGCTGCAGTGTGGTTTCCTCCCACAGGGTGCAGTCCTTCAGGAACTGACTGCTCCAGTGTGAGCTTCCCAGAGTTACGGCCTTCTTCAGGTGCAGCCACCTGTTCCAGTGTGGTGTCCTTCACAAGGTCACAAGTCCTGCCAGCAAACCTGCTCCAGCATGGGCTCCTCTCTCCATGGGTCTACAGGTCCTGCCAGGAGCCTCCTCCAGCATGAACTTCCCACAGGGTCACAGCCTCCTCCGGGCACATTCACCTGCTCCAGTTGAGAGTCCTCCACAGGCTGCAGGGGAAACTGCTCCACCATTAACCTCCATGGGCTGCAGGATGACCTGCCTCAGCATCGTCTTCACCATGGACTGCAGGGGAATCTCGGCTCTGGTGTGTGGAGCACCTCCTCCCCTCCTTCATCGCCCTTGGTGTCTACAGAGTTGTTTCTCACATATTGTCTCTCCTCTCTTCTGACTGCTGCTGGTGTTGTGGTTCCCCCGTCCCTTCTGAAATATGTTGTCACAGAGGTGCTACCACTGTTGCTGATGGGCTTGGTCTTGGCTGGCAGCGGCCCCATCTTGGAGCCAGCTGGCATTGGCTCTATTAGACTTTGGAGAAACTTCCAGCAGCTTCTCATGGAAGCCACCCTTGTAGCCCGCTGCTACCAAACCCTTGCCACGCAAACCTAACCCAAACCAACAGGGAGAAACAGGCATTTTACACCCTTCACAAGCCTGTTGAAGACTACCTAAAGGGAAAGCACTTCAGGACAGAAACTGGAGTTATAAATCCGTGTCCAAACGTTAACCAGGAAGCACATACAGCCAGTCATGACAACATTGCCGTAGTGCTGTTTAGTTATGAACCCCTGTCCCATTCCAAATGTTTTTGTACACCCTTTTAAGTTACAAAGACCTTAGCCTCTCACTAGAAAGCTTTTAGAGGGCAATTTCAGTTTAAGGCACATACAAAACTCTCTCCAATGATGCAGACGTGGAGATGAACTTGGCCTGATACAACGTTTGCTGCTGAGAATGCACTGATGACACAACTGTTCTAACAGTCGCTATTGCACTTACGAAAGCATCTACCAGTTCCAGGCTTCGTGCCTTCCACACACAGAAATACTTCACACTGTCTATTCAAGAAGAAATATTTTTATTGTTTCTGGAACTGTCCGACAGGTTTCACTGTGAATGATGAGGACAGCTCACTAGACAGTCTCTCTCATGATTTTGCTGAGCTTCTGGATCTTTGACCTTGTTGACATATCCACATACTTCTCCCCAATATTGACAATCATGCCACCAAGGATTGATGGATCAGTCTAAAGAAGAAATGTAAATTCTATTAGGAAAAATTTGGTAGCCTAGTATACAATTTTTACAGTATTAAAGAAAAAAAGCTTTTAGAAAAGCCTTTTTTAAGAGAACTTTACAGTCGCTGTATTCCAAATTTAAGATTTCAGTAACTAAAGCATCATCAGATCTACAGGAGAGCACAGAACTATGTAATAGAGCAAGTCGATTCAGTAAAATTATTTTTTTTTTCTAAAGATCAGAGAGACAGTAGGCCAGCTTAACAGGAACTTGATGAAATTTATTTACAAGTAAAAAAAATCCGTACCTTGGTCTCCAGCTTTAAGACCTCTCCCTTAGCCAAGAATCCACTCAGAGCACTTTTTAGCTCAGTAAGGCTGGCATCATCCAAGGGCTGAAAAACATGAACAGAAGACAAGCAAAATGAAGGACTTAAAAATATTCAGATGATATAATGAGAATCCAAATTCTCTATTCAGATTCTTCTAAAGACAGATGCTTCCACTAGGAAGGCAGATAGATTAAGCAGCCCCTTGAACAGGAGTAACCAAAGGACAGCACAGGAACAGCAGCCACTTTGTGCCTTCCCAATTTCACGAAACAATGTGTTATTTGTGCACATATTCCCAGCAAGACCTCGATGCTGACATCTTCAGATGGCATGTGTCAGGAATCCATACTTGACAAAGTAAGCACTTCATAGAAAGCCTTCAGGTCTACCTCACAGGCTGTACAAGGAAAGATTAATTTTGCTGCTTCTAACAAAATTATCAGCTAGAGAAGAAACACGGTTTCACGTAAAGCACTGGGCAGTGACCGAGGACACTGGCAGCAAGCTCCCAGCCCTGCTGCAGGCTTGCAGAATGCTCCTGGCTAACTACACACCTCTCCATCACCACGGAAGAACTCTGCATCCCTGTGAGAGAGACCCTGTGAATTTGTCCTTGCTTCCCCTACAAGTCACTCGGATACCACTGAGATAGAGACAAAAGGCTTTGTGTTACTGGCAATTTAAACAATTTCTAGTTAGTAGCTAACAGTTCGAGAGCCAAGAGAAACTAACAACGACAAAAAAGCAGCAGGAAAGTAACTTTATGTATGAAATATTTAGGAAAACTTATGGAAAGGTTTGCACAGGCTTGTGCGTCCACATGTCCCTGAAGGCTACAAACCTGACTGACGATCCGTGCTCAGGGCCTACAGAAGCCAGTCAATCTGAAGTGGATCAGTCTATTTAGTCCAGGTAGGCAGTTCATTGCAGCCCTAGCCAAGGGCTATAGGTTTATACTACATACCTAGCTGACCAGCTTCCTGCTCTAACGGATCTGAGCGTGGATCCATTAATGAAGAAGATACTAAGTGTCAGAACGATCATGCCTCCAGCCTGATGTTTACAGCTCATGGAGACACAATCTTCTCCCTCACCTTCCTAAGCACCAGCCAGACTTGCCTGTCTGCTACTTATGAAAAAGTCTTCCCACAGTTTCAGAGTTAGCCACTTGTCCTCATTACTGCAGGTGGTGAATTAGGTAGCTGCTCCCCATGAAGCACAGCACCAAGTACCACAGGCAGTCTCAGTCCTACGAGGTATCTGCTTCGCTCCAACTAATATCTCCTCTGTTAGTTCTGACCTGATCTGTACAATCCTGATGACAGAAATAAGAACAGGGGCAGCTGTATCTGCAGACCAAGCTGAATTTTATCAGCCACTGGGTCTGCACATAGGAAGGATGATGCAACCTGTTAAGCTGAAACGGGAGAAACAGGTCTAGTTTTTGACCAATAATTGTTGGATATCAAAAAAATTATTTGCCTAAGACTTTCATCTTGGTAGAGGTGACATTATTTCCTCACTACTCACATAGCAAATACTTAAAACTACAGAGATCAAAAATAAGCTGAAGGAGTTTGCCTTTTATGCCACTACCTGTTAAGCTAGATCTAGAGGTTCCTAACTCACCTGCGCAGTGGTGACTGTGCACAGCACTTCTCCTCTGTACGCACTCATGATCTTCCCAAATGCAGAAACAATGTCTGGAGTGTGACGCAAGCGACCGTTTTCAGCAAGCAAATCTGGAAGAGGCGGACGCATTGGAAGGGTTTAAAGCACCCACTAGAAGCAGATGTGGTCAGCTACCGGTAATAACAAGTAGCCTTAGATGTTTTTCAGAAGTCAAATTGTTACTCACTCATCAAGTTGACAATAATAGGGGACATCTTCTCTTTTGCTAAGGCATCATTCACAGCTTTTTGTTTAACTGTGCTCTTGGTGTGAGGGTTCATAACAACACTGGACAGCTTGGGGTCCTTCAAGAGAGTCTAAGAGCACACACAAACAAGGTGATAAAGGCCAGGAGTTTTCCAGGCATTACAAGGCCTAACTGGACTACCCAAAGCAGGCAATACGGTCATTCCTTGAGTAAGAATGAAGAGGTCTGAAGCTGATGGGAAGTGAAATAGCAGCTCCAGGTGTAGCTCATTTACAGTATGTCTCTTTTAGAGCTGATGCTCTTCCCGCATCCCTTCCAAGCAGCTTAACGCCGAGGGCGCAGCCCAGACAGCAG